ACATAAAGAAAAATCGCACCCTCACGTGGCGCTGCCCTTGCGAAATCAATTTTTTTTACAGAACCCTTCCCTAGAGTGTTATAATAAACTCCTCAAAGTTTCATGGCGATCGAATGGAAGGTGTCAAACTTCAATCGACTTTTATTTTTTATATACTGTACATAGAGAAAAAACAATTCGCGCACTGTCGGGGCGCCACCCCTGTGAATGAGAAAATTTTTTTTCGCAGAAACCTCCCCAGGAATATTCTCAACTACTTCTCAGATTTTCACGGCGATGTGATGACAGGTGTAGTAATGCATAAAAGACAAAAAGACACCCAGACACACTCACATTCATTGCTTTTTACATAAATAGATATGAATATAATGAAATTATATATATATATATATATATATATATATATATATATATATAAGTAAAACGATGTTTACCTTTAAATTTTGTTTTAGATACAAGACATTTGTAAACCTGACCCAGTAATTAATTCAATGGATTTCGATACAGTTATTTCAAGTCATGGTACTAAAGGTAATTTATATAGAATTCAGTCACCAATTGTAATCTTAGCTGAAATTTCCTTCGTGGCGCCATTGAATGTACCAAGAGATAAGATTGAGGAATCGCTAGTGGAAGTCCTGATTAGAACTCCGTTAAGTGATGAAGTAAATAGAAATGTATTTCTTCCCTATCTGTGGTTAGGAGATTTTGAAAACATATCTTTCTATGCATGGAGTAAGCAAAAATTTGATGATCGCTATACATATACGTGGAATGACAAAAATGAAGCTCAATATGATAAATCTAATCGTAGGCAATATCTTGTGAAGGTGACAAATACTTTAGTCTGTAGTTTTGTAAGCTTCAGCAAGTCTGAATACACCATAAATTCCGTTAAAACCGATGTCCCACCATCCGTGATAGTCACTGTTGATGTTGGAAACACCAAGTTGATCTTCTCAAAGGTGTCAGAGATCAACATGTTGGAGATTGACGACGATGGTGTGTTGAATGTTTGTCGTGAGGTGCTGGACGAGAAACTCGCCTCTATGGCGAAAACTCCAAAATGAACTGAACTATTACGCCAATATACTGACTCTCATTTGCATGTCCGCGTCAATGCTGTGTCTCCTGGTGTCTTTAGTGACGTACATCCGGTTTTCTGAGCTGAGAAACAGTGCAGGCAAAAACAACATGTTCCTGTGTACAAGTCTTTTACTGGCTCAGGCATCTTTGTTAGCCAGTTCTTACTTGTAAGTCTTTTTGGTCTGTACAAATTGTACGTATTATATTACGTAAAGAACATTCAGAGAAAATGCAAGACTTATTAAATTACCGCTTTAATATTCAATCACACCCTAAACTTTAATATAGCTACTTTTTACTAATTCTTTAAAATATATTTCTACATTTCCCAGCTCAGGTTTCAAATACATCTGCATCGCTTTGGGAATGTCCACACACTTTCTCTGGTTGTGGAATTTCGCCTGGACCTTCATGTGCAACTTTCGCATCCTTCAGGTGTTTACAGCGCAGGTTCGGATACCACAAACACCGGAAGATCAAAAACGTGTATTGGCTAAAAATATTGTCTTAACGCTAATCCTGCCAACAGTTTCAGTAGCCGCTGTTGTGATTTCATCTCAAATACTAACCCAAGGCCAGAAAATTGGATACGGCGAATTGACATGCCTTATTGATTCAAGTTTGCTACTAGGTTTGATCTTCAAATCTTAGCTTAGAAATGATTTTAAGTAAGAAAGTTGGCACTTTGTTATAGATAAAAGCTTTTTCTTTTATGTCTAATTCAAACACTTTTTCTCCTAACACAAACAAACTGACATATCATTCATATTCCTTCATACTTTTACCTAACTCAATTCTAACACTTTTATTGGGTACCATTTAAATTCTCAAACTATATTAAAGATTTCGTTGTCAATGTTGGAATATTAGATTTTATAGTACCTTGTTTCTAATTAATATTAATTGGATAATTGGAGTTTTACTTTTAGGAAAACTAAAATAAATAAATATTTTGATGGAATGTCGGACAAAATGGCGTGTTATGTTTACATTTTTATACGGACCTTGAAATACTGAATGAACGTGAATCAGTTTTTCACTATTGGGGGTGACTTTAATATTTGGTTTCCTGGCAGATATTCGTATCCCTGTATTAAGTGTTATTGGTCCTGTGCACGTCAGAAAAAAAATGAACAGTTTCGATGCACTTTGGTTCTCTATTTAATAATATACCATATTTTCTACCAGGTGTGTTTTTGATCACTCCTCTGTCTGTCATCACTGTGTGTAATGTGGCTTTCTTTATCGCCACCGTCGTCAAGATCTACACCATCAGCAGATCTGTCACACAACAGGACAACTTCAGCACCAGCAATAGACAGCTCTCTGTGGTCTACGTGAAGCTGTCGTTGATGACCGGAGCTTTCTGGCTTTTTGCCATTGTTGGAGAAGCCACGGATTCGACACCACTTCAGTAAGTATTCATTTGAAATGTGTAACGTATTATTTGTTAATCAAATTTTAATTAAACAAATGATGTGTTCATGTGTATATAACTCATATTTAATAATTAAAGTTGGCCAAATATATACGCTAGTATTTAGTCAATTTAAAAATCCTTTGCACATTTCTTGATGTAAACATTTCATTTAAGTGAACAGGATAATTTTAATAAGCATGCATGAAGCATCTAATTTTACGTAAGACGATACACAACTAAGGCACAGCATTACAATTGCAAAAACATGTCCAATGTTATGCCTCTAAGCCAGGGGTCTCCAAACTACGGCCCGCGGGCCGGATGCGGCCCGCGAGGTCCTCTCATCCGGCCCGCGGAGATCTTTTTGTCCACGGAAAAGATTTCTGTTGGATGGTGGCTGAGGAAGTTTGCCAAGAAAATTTAAAACAATTTGAAAATGTATTTTTGGGTGCAACTACCATTGCCCGCCGTGGTGCAGACATTGGTGAAAACATCGCGACTCAAATAGCGAAAAATGCAAGTAAGTTACGCCATTTTACAATTGCAATGGATGAGTCGCTGGACAGCTGTTCCACCTCTCAACTGCTTGTGTTCATTAGAGGTGTGAATGAAGATATGAACATAACACAAGAGCTGGCGTCCCTACATAGCATGTATGCCACTTTTACCGGAGAAGGAATATTCAATGAGTTTTAAAAAATGCGACTATAACTTGGACTGGACTAACCTCAGCAGAATGTTGATGGAGGAAAGTACATAAGTGGCATAAAGAAAGGCTTAGTAGGACAAGCGAATGAGAAAAACATTTTACAACCAGTGTTCCTGCACTGTATTATTCACCAGCAAGCTTTGTTTACTAAATATATGGACATGGGTAATGTATTGAATCTTGTGTTGGAGATGGTGAATTTAATAAAGCCACATGGGCTCAACAATAGATAGTTCAGAGACATGTTGAAAGATACAAACACAGAAACGCAGCATTTACCATATTATACAACAGTAAGATGGCTAAATTGTGGGAAAGTTCTGAGCAGAGTATTTAAGTTAAGCAGGGAAATAGATACCTTACTGGAAAGTAAAGGCAAGCCACAACCATTAATGTCTGATGAAGAGTGGGTATAGAAATTGACCTTTGCCGCAGTCATAACTAGTCATTTAAATTTACTGAACCTAAAACAACAAGGAAAGTAAAATCTAGTTTCTGTTCTATGCACCCACATAAAGGCCTTCATATCCAAACAGGTCTTGTTTTTTGAACACATACAGGTTAACAACTTGACGTACTTTCACCATTTGCATATTAGATCATCATGGACCTCCAGCTGCAGTTTCGCCAACTCGAAGAACTTCCTAGAAGAAACTCTGGCCCCCGACCTGATATTTTATAGTTAATGCGGCCCTCGGGCTGAAAAGTTTGGAGACCCCTGCTCTAAGCTTACATCTAAGCTTACAGTAAAGAAGAAGAACAGAAATAAATTTCATTCTTTGGATATAATAGTTAAATAAATAAATATATAATTGCTTTTTTAGAAGTTAGTAAAACTTAAGAAATATATCTACAAAAATATCCACAAACAAATATCCACAAATACGCAGACACACACGGACTCACGTACGCATGGATAAACATACATGCACTCAAACATATTGATGCAAAAACGCATGCACTTACACAAATGCAAACGCCAATAGAAGTTCCCATCATCAGAAATCATGGGCGAACGCTGTCCGCATTATTTATTTTCGTGGGCGTCAGCCAGAGGCGTATCCAGGTTTTCGTTGTAGGGGGAGCGAAAAGAGCAAAAAAAGGCGCCGAATTTTTAACACGTTCTATATACGTTTATTATATGTATATATATATATATATATATATATATATATATATATATATATATATATATATATATATATATATAATTACTAGCTGTATGTCATTACTTTGCTATGATGTAAAATAAGTTGAAAGTAGAACTCTGAAGAAATAAGAAAAAATACACAATGTAGGCCGACAAAACAAACATTGTATCAATCTAAACAAAAAAAATAATATTTATAAATGTCAAAACAAATAAATAATTACTTTAGAATATAATGAAATTGTTTAACACTATTCGTGTTTACAAAATGTTTTTGTCTATATTCAGAATTTAATATATCGTCATCATAAATGCTAAAGTATTACAGCATAATGAAAGTTTTTAAAATTAGAGTTGGTATAAAAACCATGCTTTTCGATATAATAGAAAAACATTCTGAATAACAGCTGCCATTTAACTAAATATTGGACTTTTTAGTTCAGATCATAATTATATTTTAAATTAACTACTGCTTCTTTGTGTTCGTTAAAGATCATTTTTTAACATAGTGATAGGTATGGTTTAAATCACTGTATTGATCACACACCTTTTTACTAATAATTGCAAAAACAATATTCACAGAGTTTTACGTTTAAAAAGCTAATTTTCTGGCGGCATGGTACTTTGGTACATCATTACGCGTTTTTCTACATGTACTTAACAGATCAGTTCGGGGTGGGTTGGGGGGGGGGGGTGGGTTCAACTTCATTCACCACTGTCCGGTCACTTTAGGTCAATTATCTAACCCAGTGTATACCTAGGTGTGACATTAATGTCGCTCTACACAATTGTGGTGGTGAGGTGTGTGTAGGGGGGGGGGGAGATAACCAACTCAGAGTGAACATAGCGTCAGTTTTTAGATGACTGTTCTAAACATACATATATATTACACAAATATATATTACAAAAATATATATTACACAAATATATATTACAGAAATAGATTTAAATAAGTAGCAGTGGTATTATGACAATATTTTTCTACAGAGGGGTCCATGGGGGAGGGGGTTGTAACTGTTTCATATAATTTGTAATCGTAATCACTTTCTCCCAAACTGTAACAATACTACTACTTCATCTTGATGACGTTGTTGACCTTGTCAAAATTTCCCCACCACTACGCAGTTTGCTCATAAGTAAATTTAAATAGAGGTGCCACATTAGTTGTATTTGTTTCTGTATTGAAATTTTTAAAAACTAATCACACGATTCCAACTGTATACATATAAAGTAATTATGTGTGAATTTTTATGTATAACATTTCTAATTCAATTATTCGTAAGCAAATACATTATACGGTTGCCTTAAACTCAGTGTTTCTTCCAGACTTTTTTCTCCGGGGGGGGCACTTGAAATCTTCGGGGGGGCGGTAAACTTTCTTCGGGGGGGCGGACACTGTTAAAAGTATATATTTTCTATATAAATTATATAAATTTCATTTCGTTCGGGGGGGCGGTAAAAAATTTTCGGGGGGGCTTCGCCCCCCCGAAGAGATGCCTGGAAGAAACTCTGCTTAAACTTAACATTCCTCTTGCCAAGTGGTACTACCCGTGGAGGTTTTTTAAACATTGCAATGCATCGTTATGGTTATTTTTAGAATGGCAAACTGATGCAGCTGTTAATACGTGTTGTAAACGTAGACACTACTAGACTAGTACAATAATGCTTAATTGCTGCATGAAAAGATATCTTGTGATTTACATAGATGTGCCGAACAAAAATATTTTTTAACAAGTATCATTGTTTAAAACTTTGAGTTTAAAAAGTTTCCAAAAAGGCGCCACTTAGCTGAAAATGGCCAGAGGGGGAGCGGCCGCTCCCCCTGCTCCCTCCCCTGCGTACGCTACTGGCGTCAGCTTTAAGTAAACTATAACTTTTTAGAAGGTAATAACAGCTGGTATTTATACTAAAATTTGCGCTCGTGTTTAATTTTTTGAAAAAAAAAAGCTAGTGTTCAAATATAAAAAAACAACTGGTTTTATGGTTTAAAAAACCAACAATTTTGCATTTACGTGATGTTTGCTATGATTGGAAGAGAAAAAAAATTGGTGCCCCTGAAAAAGGGGGGGGGGGAGCGTCTGCAGCCACCTCATCCAACACCCCCATTAACTCCGCCACTAATGCTGTGACCATACAACATATCATATACAAATTACAGGAAAGAATTTTAAACTTGAGGTCTACGTCAATTGCGAACTTATTTTACATACGAATACAAAGAGTTAGTTTCACGTATTGGGTATTAATATATTGGTCTCTATATTTAAATCTAGTTAAAAATGCATTGTTACTTAAATAGATTTCATTCTGAGGTCATGTATCATTATGAATATTAACCTAAAAGTATTCTGATGGTTTTGTATCTAATTGGTTCACACCAATAATACTTTATTTTAAATCTATATATTACAAATTTATGGGTATCAACAATCGTATATTTTTAATTTCCCAAACCTTTATTTCCCACAGGTTTACATCAATAATACTAAACGGCTTACAAGGTGTTTTCTTTTTTGTGACGTGTATCTGTAACCGCCGTGTTGTCAAACTGTACTGGTCATCCATTGGACAACGTGACGTCACATCTGCAAGAAATTACACAACTGAATAAAACATGTAATGGCTCTAAATACACCAGTTCAGAAAGCGATCAACAGAACACTTTGATTATAAATAACGAGCCGGCCCGCGGCATAACATACGCCGCTATTTAGTTGTTTCTAATTTTCAATAATTCATAATTTGTGAATTCGACAGTACCAACGCTGACACTGAAAATATTTCTTTAAAACACTATAAGTAGCTCGTTAAGGACCATAACCCCCCCCCCCCTTCCTTCCCTCCCCCTCCTCCCCCCCCCCTACGTTTAAAATCGTTGGCTCTGCTTGTAAACATTTAGAGTGAACACAGCTCACTAAAACCATGTAGGGGTGGGGAGGTAGGGAGAGCGTTTGCAGCTTGTTTTCTAACGGCTCGAAGAAGAGAATTATATATATAGATAATTACAAAAATTTCTTTAAAATAAGATGGCATTGAGTAAGTTATAATAAAATCAGTATTTCTTGAATGTATTTATGTAATCTAGAGTTTTCAATATATGAAAATACAAAAATAAATTTAAAATTTAAAAAAGAC